CCCCAAAACCCCAAAACCCCAAAACCCCAAAACCCAATGAAGCTTATTTAAATCCTATTTTAAAGTTATATAAATATAATTAAATATAACAAAATGGAACAGCAAAACGACCATCCAAGCAGTCAAAGAGACAAAGAACACCCTCACTACTCTAAAGATTTCATTCTTGACTGGCATGCCTGGAAGCAGCCTGGACCAGGACAAACCAAGGATTTGTTAGGAGAAGAAGACTATATAGAGCCTGGTGAGGGAAGTTGATACAACTTTGCACTTTCGGAAGTAGGTGAGGAAAGAGATCTTATGAAAGAGAAGGATACTCAGGAGTTATGAAGGAAGTATGTAGAAGGACTGGAAGTTATCAAGATCGATTGTAGTGGAAGGCTATATGAAGAGTATGGGGAAACCAAGGAGATTGAGATAAAGAAGGATGAAGGAGATTGATGATTTTCGATATAGCTTTAAAGCAATTACCGAATCTTAGATCTTTTGAGAATGCTAGAGAGTCTTCTGTTATCCCTGACACCAACAGTTTCGAAATTGTGTCTTTCTTACGAGAAAGACTTGAAAATTCTTTTTATCAAGAACTTTATGGTGAGAAAAAACAAAACAAAGGGAGAGGAAGACCAAGAAAGTTGAATAACATTTGCAAAGATGTATTATGGTCAGTAATACTTGACAATGTTTGTAAAAGAGCAAATAAGAAGCCAATAAGGCAGAGAAGAGATGGCAAAGTTGCTTCCATTTGTAGGAATCCAAAGAAAGTTTGTGTTGATATTCTCAAACATGTTAGCTCAAGAGCTAGCTACAAATCTACTGATATCAAAGAGGTTATTGGAGCTTATGCTGAAGCCTTCACGGTTGGATTTCTACCCACCTTCTTTGATAGCGAAGCTGTTGAAGATAAGATCAGATTATTCTGCCAATTCATAGTTCTCGCTTACCCTGAGTCTAAAGTTGAAAGAATAATTTCCTTGTTAAAAGAAGCCAATTATCTATCTTATGATGAATGCAAAACATTACTTCATCAAACCAAGATAAGAAAATTGTCTTCAAAAGCTAACTTTCAAGACATTGCTAGACAAAACACATGCTTTAAAAACATTATTATAAAGCTATTGTCTAAGCTTGACTCAACCAACCTTAAGGACAAACAAGGCTACAAATCTGTCTTATCATCCCTTCTCCTTCCAAACACCCCAACCCTCTCTCACCCACCCTATAACCCAACCATCCTGCTCTAATTACTTTTAAATCCAGACATTTCCTCCCAACAAACCTCTAAACCCCCCACCTTCCCATTCCTCCTCTCCAAAAACCCCTTCACTTCTAAATTTCCTTCCTAAATTTCGCTTTTAAAAAATTGTCCAAAAAGTTGTAAATGACCAGAAAATAAAAACTCCGAAGGAAAATAATATTTTTATGTTAATATCAGAATAGAGTATTTAGTTAGTTGTGAAGAATGGGGTTTTGGGGTTTTGGGGTTTTGGGGTTTTGGGG